CAGAGTTGTATAAACATGACCATAATGAATTTTAGAACATTTTCATCACCCCCCAAAGAAACCTGCAAACCCATTAGCAGTCACTCCCATTCCCTCTTCCCTCTAGCTGCTGGCAACCACTAATCTACTTTCTGTCTCTATGGGTTTGCCTATTCTGAACATTTGATATAAATGGAATCAAACAACATACGGCCTTTTGTAGTTGACTTCTTTTACTTAGCATAATGTTTTAACAGTTCATGTTGTAGCATGTATCAGTACTTCAGTCCTTTTTATAACTGAATAATCTTTTGTATGGATAAACTTATACATTCATCAGTTGGTGGTCTTTTGGCTTCTTTCTCCTTTTGCGCTATTGTGAATAATGCTGCTGTGAACATTCATGGTTTAGGTTTTGTATGGACATAGGCTTTCAGTTCTCTCGGGTATAGAGGCAGTCCCCAGGTTACGAATGTCCGACTTATGGACAACTTGTGCTTGTACTTTAATGTTATGGAAATTTGCCGTCTGTTTGAAACGATTGAACCAACCCCTGCTTGAAACAAATTCTTCATCACAGTCACCTTCACTTGCTGCACATGCAGCTTTTAAATCATTGAAAAGGCTTCATTCCTTTTCTTGTGCTAAAGTAAGGCTAAATAAGAACCGTATGTACCTGTTCCGACTTACTTACAAATTCAACTTAAAGACACAGTTAGGAACAGGTCTGTTTGTAACCCAGGGACTGCCTGTGTGTATCTAACAGTGCAAGTGCTGGGTTATATGATGTGAGGGAAAAAAAACAAATCCCTACGTTTCACTTCTGACACCAAACTGTTAAAGTCCGTCAGATCAATTCAGTTGTAAATTCTGTTCCCCTGTGTTCTGACACCAGCTGTATGTGCAGCATCTCTTCTAATCCTAGCCACCTGAAGCTAGATCAGGCCTCACAAGTAAAGGGCACAATCTTCCAGACTACCATGTCTGCATGACACTTCAGGTGCCAGAAGCAAGCTTGGGCATCCCCAAAACACTCTCACTTCTGAATTGCTGGCCACAAACTTGGGGGTTCCTCCTACCTGTTCAGGATACCAGCTGTAAGCTTGGGGATCCCTAGCTCCCTCACTTCTCACCTGCTGGTGCCCACTGCTTCCTTGAGTTCGATAATTCGCTAGAGCAATGCACAGAAAATACAGAAAGTACTATACTTACGATTGCAGTTTTATTACAGCCAGAAGGATCCAAATGAAAAGATGCTTAGGATGAGGCCTTGGAGGGTTCCCAACTCCGAACTTCCATGTCCCACAATAGGACACCCTACTGCCCATGTGCATCAATGTCTTTCACCAACCAGGAAGCCCATGGAGCTTCCGTGTCCAGAGCCTTCATTAGACCCTCATTATGTAAGCATAGTGATTCAATCAGCCCACCTCCCCTGAGCTCAGTTGATATCACCAGGTGGTCTTTTTGACCTGGCCAGCCTCCAGCTGAGCACCTCATTAGCATAAGCCCTCAGGTGTGGTCTGGA